AGCTGTTTATTTCTTCGTGTTGTCTCTATCTATCTATCAAATCACAAGTGTCCTGGTTTTGTTTCTCTAGAGAACTCTGTCTAACACACTGTTTATGCAAAGACATTTGAAAGACAGATACCTGGCCAACCAGCAGGATTAGATTCATATTTGTAGCCATTCTGTGATCCAACAGAATAAAGAAATTATTCAATAATATCATTAATATCAGATGTAAGTAAAGTTATGATGAACCTAGGTCAAAAACAGTAGCAGCAGTCTAAGGTAACTTTCAGAAATTGATGCTGGATTCAAAAGAGGACATGGATGAAGGGTAATACTCCCAATGTTAGCTAGATCTTGGCTAAAAGAAAATAACAGAAAGATTTTTATCTGTGCTTTATTGACTATGTGAAGACATTTGTCAGCTTGAGTCATAACAAATTATGAACAACATTGCAAAGAATGGGAATTCCAGAACACTTAATTTCGCTCATGCAAGACTTACACATGGAACAAGAGGCGGTCACTTAAAGAGACAGGGGACAATCAGAAAATCAGAAAAGGTGTGTCAGAGGTGTATCCTTTCACCATACTCATTTAACTTATATGTTGACCTATTTGAAGACGAACAAAGAATCATGGTTGGACAAGGACTCTTTAACGACTTGATATGTAGGTGACAAAAAGGAAGAGAATGTGCAGCGGTTACTGACGAAAAGTATTACAGCTTGCAGTATGGATTACAAATCAAAATAAAACAGAAGTGTACAAATGGATCAAAGAGCAACATTGTGACTAGTGGAGAAAAAACTGATATTATCAAGAATTTAATTTTACTTGGATCCATAATCAACACCCATAAAAGCAGTCTAGAAATCAAATAACATACTGATCTGGGAAAATCTGATGCCAATGATCCCTTTAATTTAAAAGTGTTAAAAAGCAATGATGTCAAAGGTGTGTGGAAGCCAAGTCATGGTCATTTCAAGCGCCTCATATGCATATGAACATTAGGCAATGAATAGGGAAGATCAAAGAAGAACTGATGCCTTTGAGTACTGAAGAAAAGTGAATACACTGCCAGAAGAACTAACAAATCTATCATGGAGGAAGTATGGTCAGAATATTTTTCAGAAGCAAGGATAATATTTCATTTCACATACGCTGGACATGTGATCAGAAGAGACACAGAAATCACGCTTGGTGGAGG